CGTAATTGTGGATAAGGTCACACCATTATAAATACCGTAGCAATAACAGTATTAAAGCAATGTCTTTATAATCCAATATTTGGCAATTAAACTTTCTCTTTTGATAAATGACAGTATGTCGAACAGATATATATACTACATATTTTTCGGCGTTTTTTTTTTTATCGATCGTTAGAAAGAAAGATCAAATAATTAAAAAGTACTATGCATGAATCCTACGGCAGAATGTTGAGCCTAGGCTAACAAAGACATATCTGCGGAATGAAATGTATAAGTAGTGTTGAATGTAATTTATATGTTTGTGACGGACATTATTGGTCCATTTTTAAGTTACTACTTGTCAACAGGGAATAAGACGTTAGCGAAAGCCAACCGATTAGATGACTCGAAAATGAACGTGAATTATGGTAGCTTGACTATTGCCTTGGTATTACATACATTGGTATAGGGTTTGCGGATTGTTTCTGGTGATTTATAGTATAAAAATTTTCCAGAACTTGCCTCTCCTAACACAGAAAAACTGAACGTGTTTTTAACATTAGCCCTGCGGAGTCTTTGTACTTTCTACGAAGAAGGTGTTCCATAGCGAGATGTCAGTTTATTAATATACATTATGTTTTCGCTTTCTGCACCATACAATCAATAGAGCTTAGGCTTACTCAAATCGATCCCGACCAAAACCGATCGATCGATCGATCGATCGATGTATTGACTACGAAGATGGTGACAAAATCTTCCAAAGAACACCCTTCTTCTTCCACTGATGCACACCCTCCCTCCTTCTTTTCGTTGCGTGTGTCGGTGTGCATGTACACAGGTATGGTAGACAGATAGCGCCCGCCATCTAGAATCATCTGATCGTATCGTTAGGCTGCCCAATGCGACTTTTCTGTATTGTGTGTTTTCTAGTAAGACTGACTGACTGACTAACTAACTGACTCGGCAACCGTGGATCTGGCCAGTGATCTCTACGCTCAAGCCACAAATAGATATGCACACGCACACGTTTTCAACTCTTGGAGAATTTTGTTATATGGCAAGCCCTCAGATTTTGTTTTTCTCTGCTTTGGTCACCGACGACGACCTGGACTTCTCACCGACAGTTTCTACTGCTGCTGGTCGCCGCCGCCGCCGCCGACGTTACCGCACAGTTCGCCAATGGCAATAACAACGAGACCAGAGCTACAGACACTGGTGTCATCGGGTCTCTTCTAGATATCAACGACAACGACGGCGATAACAACAGCAGCAACAACTGCCTTTTGCTATCGGCAACTTCGTCGCTTGCCAACTATTGATGCTGCGGTCGTTTTGCTATGGCGGGGCTTTTGTGGCTACAAAAAGGGGAGAAAAGAATAAACAGTACGAAGATCGGCTCCTCTTTTTCACCGTATCTTTAAACCATTTCAGCTCAACTACGGTCAGCCGGTTGACGGGCGTCATTGAGGTTGGCGTCATACACAATGCGCTCTCTCCACCTTTACAAGCGACAGAGTCGCTATTGACAGACGTCGCTGTCGACAAAGGAGGGAATGATCTTTCCAAATGAGATAGTGGCACAGGTGGACCACGAGCAACTGGGCAACGACACAGTCGCAAAGGTTAAAATCGGGACTTTACCATGAGTGGCTGGCTGTACTCGCCGGCATTCTAGCTCCGTTTACCACGGCTGGCCACCAATTGCTGGGGTATCTATCCGTAGCTGTACAAATGATCGTCGAGACGACACTGCCACCGCAGTGGTGCCAGTGGCGGTGACGGCAGCGGTAGCAACTACAAGCTGGCTGCTCATCGCGTGTTGTGGCGAAGTGCGCCGAATCTGCCCACCCACTATTGCCATTGAAGTCGCTGACCTCTCGTTTCTGATGACTTTGGAGTCACCGACAAAATCAAATTCGGCGACGCTCCGACGATCTCTCTTGTCTCTAGCGGCTACAGCTGCCGTGGTTGTCTACCGCTACCACCCTATCATAAGCGTCCCGTAGCTTTTCAGCGACTCGGCAAAAGTCAAACTGTTAACTATCGACTGTGATGTCGTCTACAGCGTCTGTAGGAAGACGCGAAGATCTGGCAATCTGCTTCAGCATCAGAACGATGCTAGACTATAGGCAACCCAACAGTTTGCGCTGCGCTGAATTGTCCCATACCAGCAAACGCCTAACAAGCAGTTAGTGACATGCCTGATTGTCTCTTTGTTTTCTATTGTGACTGAACCAATTTTGGCAAAAACCTTGTCCAAAACGCCAGCCGCGAGACACCATCTATTCAACGTTGTGTGCCCTGTGTCCGTTATATATGGAACACAGCTGACGAATAATTTGATTCATCGGTGAAAATCGAACGCGGCGCGCTTTTCCAATACGTGGCTAACCAGCTCACCATCTGCTTGTTTCTTTCACTAACTTCACTTTAGCCCCTCAATCCCTCATCCCCTTTCTATATAATCAAAATAAAAATAATGAAACTGCAAGTGGCAATCTGTCTGTGCGCCTGCGGTTGACTACCGCTACAATTTTCGATGGCACTTTGCCGAATTAGATTCACAAGCAGGCGAAAGCCTGTTTCTTTTGTTCCCCTTCTCTATTGAAATCTGTCCTATTCTCTGTCCTATCTGGATGTCTATCTATGTGGAAGCGTTTTGTCAACTTTACCACAACCGGAAACGAGAATTAGCGACTATTGCCGTTAGTTGTCGAATTGTATTCAACGGTATTAACAGGTGTTCGATGAATTTCTGAGTCGAGACGCAAACAGTATTCACGTACACCGTTGCCCTTCGCCGTCGTCACGCCATTAAACTGAGTGAAGTTGACGTCTTCGACAAGATCCGATATTCTATATGAATGGCTCAAAATGGTTAGCAGCATTGATTCCACCGGGGGCACTATATGATACATGGGGCGTCCTTCACGGACCACTTCGTTTTACTATAGTCAATGCATTGCATTCATGCATAAGTACGCAGTGTTCATGTTTTAATACCAGGGTCATTATGGTATTATGTTCTATAATGTCCATCTATTAGCTCGGACAAATCAGATGAGAACTGGTCTGCCAACCGATCGTGCCGCCTTTATTGAGGTTGATGAGGAATTGATGCAAGTAGCGATAGATACGTACGTACGTATGTATATCTGTTGAAAAGCGAAGAAAAAAAGTTACTGTCTACTACCGCTGCAATATCAATAAGTTTGCCCTTATAGTTCTATGCAGGCCTATCATATGTATACCCAGCTCGAATAGCGGTTTTCTGTAAGGACTACCAACCACGACATGAATAAGGGTCATCTTCGTCATCGTGCACTCTCGATTGCCATCGCGAATGGCCTATCTGCGCTGTTGGTCAGACTTGGAAAGTGACCTATGCCAATAGTACAACTAATGACAAAACGAATAGGTAATAACGTGCAGTATCATAAGCGGTAACAGGATCGTCAGAGTGGCTTATGGCGTCTCCAGCAACAACAATAGTAGTAATCGTGCGAAGTTCGTAAACCTGACATCGAAACCCGGACGGCCAGGGAGAAGGCGTCCAACAATGGCGAAGACAATGAAAGCGAACCCAGCGCGATTGTAGCAAGTATATGGTTAAGTAATCTACAACAATCCGCCAATAGTAACAAGTGGCAACATTGGACGGAATCGTTAACGAGCTGTTTCGTCAGCCGGTGGCATCGTTTCTTCCTACGTGTGTATCTATGAATAGCCATTATACACATATATCCGTATCAATCTTGAGATAAACTAGTGAATGTACATGTAATTGTGTACACTATTATTCTGGTTACGAATATCCTGTAAAAAAAAATCTGTTTTTCAAATAGTCAGTCCAAGAGCTTCGGCTGGCCAAGTCACGACCGATCATCACAGCAGATCAGACAGACGCATTGCTTCGTTTTCTCTTGCGATTACTGTTGTTGCTATACGCGGATATGCTACTACTGATTCAACGGGTACAGCTGCTTTCACCGTTGCTTCCATCGTCATCGACCCTGACCCCACTTTGACACCGATATCACTGTTCGCTCCGTCGTCGGCATCTTCTGCCGTCACCGCAGCAGCTATTGCTGACGCTCCAGGAAGAAAGGCGCCTCGCTACGGAGCGGCGCGTCCCCACGCAGACACTCTTTGACGGCATAAGAGAACGGCCGGCAGAATTAACACAACTATTATCAATGTTACCCATTTCCTAGCACTGCTTAGCTATCGTCCCAACCAATCACCCCAATCATTTCGCTGCGGGCGGACTAGAGGCTGTACGTGCATTATATATCTGTATGTATATTTTTTGACCTTAAACATATAAGGAAATCACTGTCTTCCTTTATTGCGCCAGGGATTTAGCTGCGCTACGAGTCAATATATTGTTGTTGGATTGGGATAGATGGTACACGCAACTGTACAGCGTATTCGCTATGAAGTCGTTGAAAACGATTGACGGCAGCTAACTAACCAGTAAAATTTTGCTTGCTAGCTAATACAAATCTACATAAGATCGTAAATATAACGGTGTTATCCCAATCACCCGATTTACCGTTAATGATGGATTGACGCACTGGGAGATGAAATGGTTCGGAACGAAAGCGCGAGACATGTGGATTAGAGGCTGTTCAGGAGCTGATTATCAGGTAATGCGACGGAATGAGTTACTACGAACAAAAGTAAAGTCTACGTGACAACGCGTTACCTTAGTGGTGTTGCTGACATGACGGGGGCACTGAAGAGTGGGGCAACATCTGAAAAATTATCGATAGATGGTAGAGCAATCAAACTACTCAGAACGAAGCGAAAATATAGTGTGCCGTGTGCGCCTGCAGGACGTGCCCGAGCTGTCGTACAAGCCCGCCTGCGTGAACAAAAAAGGATCTCCGAAGGAAAGTTGAAGCCGATACAGCGCTTCACCGAAAGACGGTATCAGATAATTACTGTTCAATGGGAACACATAGCAGCTCTTAGCACTAAATGAAGGAATATATTTTATTCGTAACTTTTATTTTCAATCTAGGTAGATTAATGAAGGAATTATTTGATATATAAAGACTTACGCATTAATAACCTAACAATTACATTTAGCACGTGTGTGAACATCCATTTACGCATACTTGCCTATGTACCATCCACTCGTGTTTATCTGTTGTTGTCGTCCATTTCCTTAAACCCCCAAAAAACTGCTAACTGCAAAATGCAAAATTCACGTATCGTTTCCATCCATATCTCTCACTTAGGCGACGTCTAGTTATTGTTGTTTCTTAGTTTTGTGTGTTTTTAGACATCTAGCGTTGCGCCAGCAGCGCAATCAAAATCCTTTCGAACCCGGATGCTTCAGACAAGACTTCGCTTCGTTAGTTCTCACCGACCCCAAACGTCGGCGACAGCGAGCGTGATGAACCTGCCCACTCACTTGTTTCTGCTATTCGTTGTCGCTCGAGGTCGGCTGGCGTTCACTTGTTGTTCGGCCAATTCGTTCGCCTGGACCTTCTCTCTCTCTCTCTCTCTCTCTCTCTCTCTCGGTCATGGCTCTATTTCGGAATTTACCGCTCAGCCAACGCCGTGATCGCGTGGCAGCTTAACCGGCTGACTTGGCCCTACAGTCAGACTGTTAGCTCAGTGGTGGCCAGAAAGAGTGGAAACGCGGCACCCGCAAGGGGTTCAAACCCCCGACAGAATTCTAGCGTCAACGTGAAACGGCAACATCGCTTTCGGGACACAATCGAAGCCAGCCAGATGAACCTAAGCGTTTCTTCAGAAGAAGGACTTTGCGCCATTAACTTCGTCTTCACTCGAATTTTTTTACCGTTTACCATTATCCTCCCGATGGCATTAATGGTGCCGTTGCTGGTGACCATGCTGAAGGAAGTGGTGATGACGACGATGATACGTAGCCACTAGTAGTCTTCGGAGGTCCAGGGATCTGCTTATGCTCTTCGATGGGCACCCGGTAACTTTACTCGTACACACCTCACTCGTGTCGTCTACGCCTGACAACATCGAAGCAAAAGTATTGGAATTTAAATAGCCAATTGCACTAATCTGTTGCTAATTCCATGCTGATTAGTTCCTATGTCTTTAAGATCGGCGGATGAAAAAAGAGGGCACAATCGTATTGATGATCACGTTTTTTAGTGCGTCTTTTGTGCTATCCTTGTTTCATATCTTCTTCGCTAGTTTATCCTTCACAATAGCAAGGTCCTTTTTGGACAGGCCTTTATTTTAACGTACGTATTGTCTATCGGCATGTCAGTGCGGTCACTTAGAAGCTTCGCTAATTATTTAGATCGTTTTTTATTCGATTAGATTAATTTTATATGATAGCTTGCAGCTACAGGTGCGCAACAAATCCGAAAACGATCGGGCTGGGCGTCACTTAACACATACTGCCGACAGTTACCGCTCGAACAAGAAATTGTGTCCAAAAAGCCCCCTAGTGACAATTATAGAACCTACACAGCGAATAAGTCCGCGAATAATTTCGAATTTCGCGCAGCATCGACAACGAGATAATTGCTAGTAGAGTAAATAATCGCCTAAACAAATCGACGACGACCAGTTTCCAAAGCTATTTGTAGGCCATAAAGTACAGATATACAGAGAAATAATTCTAAACGTTTTGCTTCTATCGTTCGCAGCTTCCCATCCCATTTACATTCTTTATATAATGCGGATTGCGCAGTTAAGGGCACCCACCATTCGTTTTTTGCTTGTCTCGTTCGGGAGCCATATAGATAACAGTTTAAGCTCATTATTCTGATTGAGCTAACTTCACTGGATCTTGATTATTACTAGTTGAGTTAACATAAGTATAAGCATGACGTAAAACGTGCCGACCATATGGATCCGTGTAATACGTAACCCTAATTAGGATTGGGAAAAACTTCTGGATAAGCTACCACGCCGTCGTCTATTCTATAACTTGGTTTATTTCACGGCTTTGAACAGTTCATGATTTGTGTACTGCTGCAAAGTCTACTTGAGACGCTCCAGTAGCGCTGCGAAACGGACGTCGTGAATAGGAAAAAATCGATATATTGTGTAAGATTTCGGAGATTCAGTCATTGCGGCCTTGTTCCGAACGGTGTCTGTTTGAAAAAGCGGCTCCCCGGTCGCTATGATTTTTTTGTTGATATTTTCGCTAGCTAATCTATAAAGGTTTTGTTTGGTGGCGGTTCGGGGCCCGTTCACCGAAACAAGGTCCGGCCTCCGGGACGGTTTCTGGAGAAAGTTCATCTACACCCAGAACAGGTCACACATATGGCCGCCACTAACGAATACATCACGTAGATTGCATTCGTCTACTGAGCGAGAGTCACTCTCTCGCTAGAACTACTACGTAGCGAAGGCACATATACTTGCTAATTGATCCAAAACGAGTGGCTTTTTTCTGGCTTTGGTCAGGTAATGGCGACTGCAGAGGGCAGGTTCGTGGGCGGCTTATCGGCCTGCTTGTCGGCTTGTTGCTGCCGCTATGGCAGCCACTAGCGCTGTCGAGTTCGGGGCGTCGTAAGTGCTTGCTGAAACAGTGGAGTGCCGTCGCAGGGTCTGGGAATGAACGGAGCTAAAGAACAGAACGCTTGTGAGTGCTCCCGACTTATTGGCCGGCCCCTAACTGCGAATATCGAAAGGAGAATTCGCTCAAGAGTAGACACCAAAGCAGAAACAGCGGTTTCTAACGCGACTGCCGCGTGGCGTAGCCAGTGGCTGAACAGGTGAATGCGTTGGCAGACTCCTGCGCCCAACTAAGAGACTGAGCGATTGGCCGGTCAATCGACGGTTAATCTTCGAGAACTGGCTAGCGGTGGTCGGTTGTTGGGTTTTACTTCGGACGCATTCCTTCGACTTCGGCCAGCCAACACTTCGTACGTCAACGTGTACCCTCTTCGCTTTTGTGTTCTTGGATAGGTATTCTCTTTCTCGCCGAACGCTCATTTTGGGTACCCCTAAATGGTGTTCTTTGCGTCGGGCGTGAAGCTGAAGCCGACCCTGCGTCACTAGTCCAATCGACATCTAGTACCGTATCTACAGTGACGCGACTCGGGTTTGAGCACAAGCTGACGAATTGGCAAAACGTGTTGAAGGCTGTCCATGTCGCAATACGTTTACTGTCTTTTTGTGTTTCTTGTTTTATATCGTGATTCCAAAAGCGGGACGTCACTGCAACATTTTTCAGACCGAGCTTTCGCCGGTCACAGGAAAATGTGTGGTGTGCGAAAGACGGTACGTCACACACACACACACACACACATCGATACACACTTACACACACATACGTACAACCGTATGCATACTTATATACTCATAGGCATAAGGTCCATCTACCGAATAGTAGGCGCAGACCAGGAACTAGCTGTCACCAAGGCGACATTCAGTCGCTTTCCACTGATCCTAGTATAGCGGTATAACTCCGTCGTTACAATCTCTAAATGTGGATCATCTCATCGAATCGGCTCACTATCAGCCATCTAGCGTCTCCTTAAAGCGAATCTCCAATGGAGGGTTGAGCAAAGAGTGATTACTGTTTTTATATCTATCGTTCAAACGCGCCTCGCATGCTGCCGCTTAGCCACTTTGCGTCCAATTTTTGCTCGCTTCTAAGGCAGTTACGTCGTGTCGCTCAGGTAGCTCTCGAACGTATGAACAGTAGAGTATAAGCTCAAGCAGACTGCCGCTGTCGTCGGCGCCGTCAAGTAGTCGTAGTCTCTGTTCACTGATCGACGAACAAGATCGCTATGGGCAAGTACGGAACTACCGCCGAAAATGGTTACCGTGAAAGACGTTCGCTCATGGCTAGCCAGACCTCATGTAACGCTTCCTGCTTGGAAGGAGGTTGAGCTTTCGGCCGTGAAAAACGGATTACCGCTCCTGTGTTATTTATACCGCCACATCATCAAGTACCGTGTAACACATTTGGGCTGATTCTCAACTGCCACGGTAAGTAATGTACCCTTTAACAATAACTAGTTCGAAGTTATACGACAGCGAGTGACAACTGTGTTCAAGATCATATTCAGCGAACGCACAGACATTTGTTAAATACAATAGCTATGGTACGAACTCTTAAAAATTATTCGTTGGCCTGAAAGCTCCGTAGGAACTGTTTCGTTGCGAAAATAGAAAGTACTCCTGTTAATGTTTAGCACGCTCGGAAACCCATTTTTCCCATTTCTGCACAAGATCACATCAAATACAGTACTGGACAGGTACCGTACGTCCAAAATTGACCCAGCCACACTCTAGCGAACTCCAGGTAAGCTCGCGTCGAAGTGCTCACGCCCGGCTATGGCATTGGAAAGCAAAATCTTTTTAGAGAAGTGCGTGAACTATGCGAATCCTGTGAATCCTCAAATGAGCTCCGTCCACAACGAGTATAAACAAGCATTGTCTTTATCATTGCGAAGTTTCGCGGCCTCTTTACTTTGATGGACAGTTGTTGTATGTTCGTTTTATGCAGGGGCCCGGAATGTGAGGACTCGAAAGGAAATGAGTGAGGCGGTAAGATGTGAAGTCACTCAATAGAGCACCGAATGGTGAAGAAACCACCATTGACCGATCGAATGTATCGCGCTGCGGCTTCGGGATCTCCCTTCATCAGTGCTGACTAGCTTCGTTAGGACGTTCGCCTCGCACATCCAGACACAAACTTCGCTCGCAGGGTTTTTCGCAGAACCGAAAACCTTCTAAAGGGCGTACGTGGTACGGCGCGTCAGACAGCGCTATAAAGCAGTAAAGGTGTAAAACAGACATTTCCACTAAGATACAGTTGCTTCAGAGTTCGTGGAAGGCCATGTCATCGTCACTGCTGCTGCTGCTGCTGCTGCTGCTGTCAACTCTCTTTTGTGGCTGCTTTTACAGCTCTGTCAAATCGACAGTGAAGTTCGAGACTCCTCAGATAGTGTACTTCGCGAGGTTACAATCCTTACCGCTTAAGCTATCAAGTATTATCCGTCTCTGGATATGTACCTAGTTTTTTTACGGCACGAATACGGTTTTGTTCTTCGACGATTGTCGCGCCGATGCGTACTCGGAGTGACGACTGCGAATTTTAAGCGTCAAATGATGCCGTGCTGTTGTTCACGTGGATCGGATTCGATAACTTTGCGCACGAAAGACACCATTCCCGATTTTCTTGGGTATATGTCGAATTTTCGAACGGCACCCGAACCTGCTGCATGTAAAGGTCTAATCTCAAAGGCCTGTGGAGCTATAACAAACGTTTTATTGGGGTTCGCCAAACTAACGTAATAGTAGCAGACTATTTGAAGGCACTACAATCATTCAATATTTTTCTTGATTGACCTACTATTACTAAGTAAGTATAGCCTTGATTTCAAAGGTTAAATTTCTGGTTTTTAGCTTCAGTGCGGGTATTGAGTTGGGCTTATTTGGCCAGGCAGAAACGGACAGATAGCCACGGCCAAACAGTTTAAACAGGAACATAATTGCTAGACATTTTCAATATAATCACACAAAGGCATAAAGTTTTAATACGGGGTGTTTAGCGTGCCTCATTTCAGGACGACGCTAAAACTCAGCGATACTTGTTATGACCACGATGGTTATTTTCATTATAATGATTAGGCATGCTTTTATTATCGAGTGCTATTCTATACACGGTAAAAGCTGAAGTTATTCAATTGCAAACTACACCTTCGAAATGACATCTATTACGATTGAAACGTTAAAAGTGATTACTCCGGTAAGAACTCCGGTAACTACGACTGAAATATGAAATCCATATTGTTGACCTATAATATTAGGTCGCAGGACGGGCTTTAGGAGCTCGAAACTATTTGCTAAAACAACAATATTATCGCAGCTCGGCGCGATGTCATATATCCAGTATTTACAAATTCATGCTTTTCAGTCCTTCTTCATCTCTATTTGTGTGGAAAACCAAGTTGGCCATCGTGAATTCGTCGGACCTCAAAGACTTCATGGTCTCTCGAACGTATCGATCTGCAGTGGTAACGTGGCATTGAGCTCGTGCGTCACTTATCCGATCACATAAGTACTTAACCATTATATACGTCACCATCCCGAAGTAATCCGTGATTAAGTGATAAATGATCGATACTGTAGTTCATCAAGTTCGTTGAAGTCGAATAGAAGTTTGGTCTCGAAGTATAGATGACCGTGAAGCATAAAGGTTGCCTGTGTTGATCTCTATATTCCACTCTAGCTACAATAGGTAGTAGCAAATAGGTGGCATTGAAACATGTAATCTAAATTACCCAATATATATATATATATTTATACTGGTTATAATATCTGGACCGGCGCTCTACAGCTATAGTTACGTGGGGGGTAATCGGTTCTTGCATATTTCTACTTATGGTGCGGTAATCGCCAACAGCAGCGGCGTCTTTATTCAAATGCCTCAATGCGAATTCACCATACACACGAGCTCGCGCTGTTTCAATAACTGCTATGGCGACATTTCGGTTCCTGGCGTCATTAGCTGATCGTTTCTTTCCCAAGTTATTTTATTGGTTCCGTTGTTATTGATTCAAATTTAATTCGTCTGCTTCTCGTAGATTCTTCCTGCCGGAATCCCTCGTTTGCTCAATGCTACATGCATAACGATAGTGCGCTTGCCGCAACAACGACTCAGCTAACGTTGCCATCCTCTTTTCGCCCGAAACGCCTCGTTGTCTTGAGAGAGTAGTTGCGCTTTTCTCTGTGCGTCTGAGTACCATGTTTCTGTAGGCGATGTCAGTCACCGAGCGTCCGTCCGTAGCGGCGCCGATGGCAACAGCGCCACCTATAGCGTCACTTACCTGATTAAGTAGTGGTAATATTGTTGGGTCTTTTAGGTTGTCGAACACTGCTATCTACGATGCAAAATGTCAAGCCCCTGCCCCTCCCCCCACACCCAACTGCTCCTCGTCTCAGCTTCATTTCTTGCCGAGCAAAGGCGAACTTCGTTGAGAAAATAACTATCGGAAGCTGAGCTTCCTCCCGCTATGAAACGCGTCACTATTTAATACTGCAACTACAATATGAAGCGCTATAAGAGCTACTGGCCCGCGAGATTTTCAAATATCTACAAACTACTCGATTGACTAACGCGCTGCGAAGGGCAACGGTATAACTAACACCTGCGCAAAGTGGCAACAATGTATATATATATATATATATATTTACACATATAATAACAACGCTGTTTTTTTCGCAACAATTTTATTCATGTGAAACTTGTCGCTTTTCCCGATATGGAAACGTTTCAAACTGCCATAAATGGCTCCGAAGACGAATAGAAGATAAGAAAATGATTTGTGTTATTATGATTACTATACGGTGACGGTTGTGTGATCAACGATAGTATCGATTTGGTCGAAGTATCTGACTATTTAACTGTTAGACCTAAAGTATCACCGTACCTATTGTGATCGTTGCTAGTGCCGGTAGTTCTGCTGCTGTCTGAATGGCATGAAGGTCACAGCCGGTAGCACAAATGGGAAAAGATAAAGAAAACTTATACGCTCCTGATTTTTTTGACGTAACCGACAGATTGACCGAGGGGAGTCCGAGAGCCGCAGCGGGGTTAGTAGTTAGTTCCGGATATTAGGTTGACATGTGCTTTTTCATTGAAGCAATACAAGATTAGTTTTTTTTTACTAGGTAAATTATGAAATAGTACGTAGTGGCATTTCTTTATGTTTCGTCTGCCCTCCAGATATACACATTTTGGTTCACGGGGTTGTAGACGTTTAATCAATATCGTTAGCAATAAATACAATAAGCGTCCCTCTATACATAGAGTGTATCCTGAAAGTTTTCTCTCTTAGTTTTCTATTTATTTAATAAGCCTACTCTAATAGGCTCAACTATGCCTGGCTATGTTTGGTTAAAACGTCAACGAAGTTTGAGGATTTAATTTTTTTTTTTTTTTTTTTTGAAAATAAATATTAACATATCTGTCTCGATATTTTTCTCTATGTAATGCATAATGATTTAGGATTTTATTCTTTACGAAACGAACTTCGAATCAGCCGCCTTAATTTTCTAGTTGAAATTTATTAGAAAAAAACGACTCGAGAAGAGCTCAAGGCGCATCTTCATCTCGTTGTCACATGGTTACAACCAATAGAAATTCCGCCATTTTAACTTCAAATAAGCCAGTTCAGGTGGAGCAATTTACGTCACATTTTCATGCAGTTCTTCGATCATCAATTATGAATTCTTGGGATCAAAAACCACTTTACCTCTAAATTGCAAAAAGGAAAAGTATATAAATCAACAGTTTTTATTTAAATTCAACTTGATGCCTAATAAGCTATCCGAATCGCTTATAATTTTTTTGTTAAAATAATATTACGTTTAGAAAAAGCATTCGTCCAGTTGATTTTATTTTATGCGCAGATCTTCCCAGGATGGAACATTTCCGACACGAAACAATCAGCCCAACCCAACACGCTTACGAAAAAATCATCTAACCCCTTTGTTGTAAATAGAATTTTAGTAGTATTATATATATATATATATATGTGTGTTGTTTGAATGAACATATAGTGCGTCCCTAACGAATCAACGATAACATGCAAACGTTAAAGCCGAATATAATTTTTTTTTGTGTACTTTTTGCTCTGTTCCAGAGTACTATGAATGAATCACAGAGGCTTACTGAAGAAGAGTGAACATTCTGGAAATACCGGCCAGCACCGACCAGGGCCATATTACGTAAACACATAGGGGATGCTTAAAAAGTTACGCATGCCGATAAAAATGATGCAAAGTAGACAAAAAGGGAGCTACTTTCCAGATATCTATTTTTTCAAAAAAAAAAATTTACCGAAAAATACCGAATGACATGAAGAAGTGATTGATCTTACGAAACCTACAGTGTTAAAAAACTGGCTTTCTTTGAGTAGAATTCGTCCACTTCACGACTTAACTTTTTGTACACCCTATATATCAAAAAGTTACAACAGGGTAAATTATCACATCATTCCGTATCGGTCGTTGATAGTCCGCATATCGATGTGTACGCAGCGGCAATATCTGTCTACTTAGATTAGACAGAGTCCATCGACCAGGCAGTATATTAAGCAAACTCTCTCGCTGTAGTTCGTTTTTGTTTTTGAGCAGCATGTGCTTCACGTTTACAGACGCAGCACAGACATAGTACTCTAATTATATGCACTGCGGTTTGTCGTTTACATGCAGTTATCGTCGTGAATGTGACAAGCGACACGTCCATCATCAACGCAAATGGCAGAATCACAGTAAGAGCACTCAGAAACGGCAAAAGCAGAAGACGAAAGCGACCGTTTACGCCCGCGCCAGGTTTATGATTCGATTGTGGCTGCAAGCGTGCCACCGACACGATCAACAACCACTAAAAGATCGCTAGGACCAGGACATGTCGGTCAGCGGCGTACAATAGCGTTGGCACCACCACATTATTGACAAATTCGTAGCAAGGGGGCCGATCCATCTCTTCTCTCTTCAGTTTGTTTTACTCGATTTCGATCCTTTGCGAAATCGCTGCTGCTGGTGCCGCTGCCATTCAGCTGGCCCGTGAGTAACACTCGTAGTAGTTGTAGAGCATAGTTGTGATTATAACGATTGGTTGCCACCGCTGCCGTTGTTCTCCTGACGAATACGTGCACACGCATCGGTCGTCTATCGGTCTGGCGGCGGCCGCCGCCGCCGCCGCCGTAGCCGGTCAGTCGAGTGCGTTCTTCCGACCGGATAACAACAACGAAAGGACAGCGACGATCCCGCACAAACAGCTACAGATCTTCTATGACATCTACCTTTTTGCACTGCTACTATTACCCTTGCGACGTCTGACTTCAATAGCGTCCCACGCGTCGGTCTATCGCCATCGCCGTTCATACAGTTGCAACAGACTACACAGAAAGACCAGCCAGTCGCTTGTTGTTATTGATGCTAGCTTCGCGCTGCTGCGAAGTACGTAGCGTCAGACCGAAGTACTTGCGGCGAACTCCGCTTGCCGTATGCTGGACACTGCTAGCGCGTGGGAAAGGGGAGAAGAAACAGCAGATAAACAGCCACGCGTACATTGTCCAATACGCGAGCTGTTGCCACATCTGTCACATCATCGTTTGATCGACCGCTGTTACATTTTCGTTACTATTGCGATTACAGATTTACTATCGAAGATTATCGGCGTGAGATACGTATAGTAACTCCAAAATAGTCGGTTGTTTTAGCGAAAAAAAGGCCGCGTTTCAACTCGCTCGACGATACTGCGAAGCAGAAGCAATCTTCGCTTAGGACAGCAAAGTCAAGCTGCAGGTTATTAAGCCCACCATCAGCGTATGCTTCCTATAATTGGTTGTTGATCATCACGACTCAAAACTATGTCAGTATCAGCAATCCTCAACACACGGTCAAGCAGACGATCTCGTTTCTTTCTAGGCGGTCATGGCATGCCCGCCATACTGCGAATGCTACGAATGGATGTAGACGCAGTTTACGACGAATTTAGATCTTAGGCTCGGGTCCAGCTTCCTCTGAACATCGTCGCCGGATACGTTTTACCTCCTTTAATAAACGCGAAGTATTCACGTGAATAAGAGGCCAGATAAGTTTTACTTATAGAAATAGTAGCTATACCTTAGGTAAAAGCCTCTGCAGCATCCGACGGCGGCAAGGACAGTGCAACCGTCTTGACATCCATGAGATATCAGCATGATACAATACATCAAACGCCATTTTCGGAAAGAAAGCTCTTCATGTTTCTATATTTACCTGTTACGTCGACGACCTACTAGGTGGCCTATCCTGTCTCATCCTGTACCAGTTCGAACGTTCGTGGTGACGAACGTTACACCAAACAAAGAGAACACCGAATACACATGTCAAATATATGTTAGAACATAAGTTCGAATTGAAAAGCAAGCCGTTCGATGAACGATCGACGACCGTCGATGGCTAGCGACGACCCGACGTAAAACTTGACGCTTTAAAATGACAAATGGTGTAACGTTATTTTTGCACATGCTTGACTGCCGCGGCACGGAAGTGGGTAGGGCACCAAACTCAACTATCACTTGAGACTTATGAAGTTTATCAAATTAGTTAAGGTCTTTATTTCCGCTCGTCGTGCCGCTACGAATGACTGGTGCAAATACAATTCATCATACCCCTGAGCTGTAATATATTCAAACAGTTTCCTCGGTGCTACAGACATGATAGTTTGTTGGGGCTGCACTCCCTTTTGTAGGTGCGGTTACAGCCCTCACAAAAAGATATTCCACATTTATAAGTAGGAGGTTTCGAAATTCAACGCCAATTCTGAAACTTAAGTGGCAGTCTTCATTTTATTGCTGAGGCTTGAAACCTGTGTAGATGTGGTACCTTCTCAACTTCAGTAAACAGCACTTGCGAATGGATGAGGCCGAACAGTAACAGGTCAGCAACTAAAAACACATACACGCCATTTGCTATCGAAGTTAGCTGTAAAAGTAACAAGTAATACGGAGTGCAAGGATTTATGGATAGTATTTTTCTCGTGAACTTTTTTAAAAATTCATCCACATTCTAAGGGTGGATCCGTCCCTCGGAAGCAAGCTATCTTCCTCCCTAACTGAGTGCCTTTTAGACAACCATTGAGACTAGCGAAGTTTCGACGATAACATACGAAAAATAGAGAACATTTAGCTTTTAAAAACGCTTCTGGACATTTCCTAATGTACGCCGGCGGAAAACGTTCTTTTTTGCGGTGATGCGACGGAAGAGTCGCACAGTTTATGAATGCAAAAACTTTAGACATGTATTTAATAGCTGATAGTGTTAGCTACGATAAGCTTACCGTACAATGGCAATACTGTAACAGACAATCCGGTAGGCGGTAGCTAAATTCACTTGTGTCGCAGTACACATATGTGCAGCCTTACATCATGTTGCAACGGTAGACCTCACTCCAGCAGGCCAAGGTCTACAAGATTTATCTACCTGGAAGATTAGACCATCAGGAGGACGATCGTGCGATACTTAACCAAAAAGAGCTGCGTCCACACCGTTACCGAGTTGACGCTATGACTACGAGCAATCATCGGTTTCCGGTTCTTCAAATACAAGCGAATCGGATATTCGTGGACTAGTCCGCTTAACCGTGCGAAGCTATTTTTCATATTTATACGTAAGGGGCCAGCTAATTCGTATTAGTTTTCCTTAGCTGCGCTCTATATGTTCAAAAAAATAACTGCAAGCCTTGAAATAAAGCTTCCTTCTATGTCTGTATCGAGTGTTACACTCCTGTACGCTGTACGCCCTATATCCAAGATGTAAAATTATCTGCTTTGTAAATTCTAGTTGGACACCTGACTTGTATTCAACCAAAGAACTTTAATAACAGACAGTAAATAAAACACTAAAATCCTAGTCAACGCTAAAAACCTAACAACTATGTTATAAACAATTAGTTACTCTTTACTTTTGCTCTGTATCGCCCTCTTTCTGACTATGTATATATATATGGAATATAATTTTTTTCAACGATTCTGATAATTTTACAACGTGGTCAAGCGCAGTTCAAGATCTCTCGCGCAAAAACCCGTTTCGATATATGTTTCTACCGTATAATATATCGGTGGGGCAAAAATTGCCAATTAGAAGCTTTAGCATTAAAAAAAACAATCAGCTGTGTTGTTTATTTCTCATATAAAAAAAAAAAAAAAAAAAAAAAACCGATTTTATTATTTGGCCAACGTGAAAACTCTGTATGTAATGACTGTATTGGAAACTGTTTGAAAAATGTTTAGCGCTCGTTCCGATCAGTCTACGTATACGTCGGCATACAGACACGACGTGCCACAGCAACACCCCACAATGCCGCAGGATCATTTGTAAGCTAGTACGATGGAGGCGGCGGAACTGACAACGGCGCTTGGTAGTTGCCTTCCTTTTGCCGAAAGGCTATTTGTTTCATTGCAAGTACGTCCGTACGTATTTATGTGTTGCCGCGTTATGCTCGCTCTATTGTGTATCTCCGGGCGGGTGGTCGTTCTGACGTGTAGGGCGGGCCAAAACAGTGAATAAATAAACACATGACTTCAAGGCTGGTACTATTCAGTTCAGCCCGTATCTGGGTCAACGTGTACCCAGACGGTTGCTCTATGACTTTATATCGTATGGTTCATTGAACACTCTGTACACGGTTCGGTAGAGAGCATGAAATGAATGACAAATAGATAGATCCAAATACTGGTTCATTTAGGTAGTTTCCACCCACGGCCCGATGCATTGTTGAAGTAACTGGATGAAGGGGTGTTGCGATATACCCTACGGGAAGAGGAGATATCCTTGCTCGAAAAGCTAGGATTTGTTGCTATTTTGGGAATAACTGGTGTTTTACGGAAAAAAAGCGTCGTCTTTTTTTAATTTTATATTTCGACACCCCGTACCAATAGATAATAACAGAGTGCATTAACAAGGCATAATAACAAAGCACACTCATACACGTGGGTCGTATTCGCATAATAGTCCGACTAACCATAGTGATAACAACATTATCTGATGTTTCCCACATCACCGTATAATAGTATCGTACAATGTGCGCTATTGTTCAGACCAGCAAGATGTGTTCCTAGCCAATTATCCTGATCCCAATGAATCATATTAACTAACGCCGTTCTGGTGGCTGGCTTCAAGCCTGTTCTGAAGCCTGAGCTTCCCGTTGTTTTCGACTACACAGTCATCAGCATCATTGAGTCATGCCGCGTGAAGCGTTCGATTATGACAGCAGTTTTCAACAACTACCGGAATATCAAATAACCAAGCAAGCTAACGGAAAGCTCTGTACGGCCGGCACTGGCAGCAACACCTGTAAGCCATAACAGAATGCGCAACGCCCATCACGTATCCGTGCGCGCACGCCGCTGCATGCTGATGATGATTAAAAACATCGAATCCAAGCGTCGAGGGTTAATAAAGCAGGAACGGCTGTCCTAGTACGTAAGCATAATGGAATGCATGGCGAAGTATGCGCGCGCGCGCGCGTGCGTGCGTGCATGCAAAGGCCTTTAACGTAAAAAAGAAAACAATTTGTTTGCTTTATTATTAAACTACTTCTTCTGTCTGCGATAAAAAAGGGCGCGATCGACATGCTTGGCCGGGTGAAACCAGAGGGAAGTGTGCGATGATGCCGGTGACATAACGTCAAAGCTTCGACAAAGTCCAATTTGAGTTTGGAAATAGAACGGCATTTACCCTACTCACTATAATTGTCGGGTATGAATGAAGCGCTGGATGCATTTGACACTTTCTACTATTGTTACGCAGCGTTGCCCCGGTCGATTAAAGCGAACAGGTACCCAACTTGTATCTTGTTCGTGCTGCAAGCGTCGCGCATCCAGCTACGTACCTATCTGTACGTGCAGTACGTCGTATTTGCAAGCTGCTGACCGTAACCAAATACTAGGGTAGCCAATTCAAAACTAAAAATGTAACGGAAGAATGTAATCACAACTTCATTCGGCGCTGAGCTTGTTCCATTAGACTTGCCCGCTGCTTAATTGTTTATCACAACGGACCAACTATAAACGCGCATAAATAAACACAATTGATGTTGCTGGCGATTTCTTATAATTAACTAGATAATGGCGCTGTTGTGCGTTTTATTAGACTGGCTATGACGGCAGCATAAACGATAAGGTGAAAATGCATTCGATAAAGAAAGCCGAACGAGCTTATCCGTACGTGTCTATCTCATGTTATGCAAACTGAGCCGGTCCGTTCAGACAAATGAACAGCGGACGACGGCAGATGCGGCTGGTTATCTGTGGATGTTGGTTAATTTCGTGTCATTTAATTGGTTAGCTAGTGATGGTTGACCGAAGGCTGAAGAAAAACGTTAACAACAGCAATTATAGGTACTATGAACGTCGTGCACTGCATGCACGTACTAGGTAATGGCTGATTGTAGTTTTTTAGTACAAGTCCATTCTCACATTTTCTAGGTATGGTAGATAGCAGTATGTGAGTAGAGATAAATTTTAATGAGCCACAGAAGCTGGGCATCGGGGAAGACAAATGGGTAAAAAATGCCGCTAGAAGGCTTGAATAAGCAAGCGAGCTCATACTAGATACTAATAGGCCCTCTAGCCAATTAATAAACTTGCGCTACGTAAAAATTAGTGTTGTAGCATTTCTCCCGTTATCTATATGCATGCAAGGTGTCTTTTTCTATGAACAGACCTTTCCGAAGTTCCTGTGTTCCAGATTGCTGCTCTTCGAAACTTCTGCATTGTTTTTAAGGAGCGGCTTCGTTCACCCCAGCAAGACAAGAAGAGTGCCTTGCTTGCCTTTGTCGTTGTGCTGTCCCTTTCAGACGCTCTGGCAGACGGCTTTCGTGATGTATTCATCAAATGTCATACGTCATTCAAAACTATTACGGTTCGGCCACTGCTGTTATCGTTATCAGAAATCAATGCTGATCTGCGCTCTGCTTTGACAAATTTCGCATTTTCTACAGACATCGTTACGTTTGGCTGCTTCTGACCACACTGCATCTGGATAGGGCAATTTAACACTGTGCACAGTTTCGTTGCCCCGAAACAGACGGGTCGGGTCAACGCAATCAAGAACGTGATGCCATTAGCAAAGGCTGGAAGCGCGTCGCTCAAGAGAAAGCCCGCTCAATTATTTGACCATTTGACCTATGGCGGCAACCGCAGTCGCTGTCTGCACTACTGGCGCTATCATGTTATGCGCGTCGTCATCATGTGGCTGAGGACAACGCCGAAAACTCTGAGACTAGAAATTTGGGTGTGTATCTAAGTCTGTGTTTGTACATGTGTGTGCGTGTAGATGACGTATGAACGATTTCTGCTGGACGTCACCGGCGAACAAATAAACGACGAGATAGTTTAGATGGCTCCATTATCAACGTCAATGTATGGACAATGCCAGCAGCGGATGCTCCGTGGCCGTCGGCAATTAGTTAGGGGTAGACGTAGAAAACGCGGTCTTGCCTATCTGCCCTCACCTTAACAGGCTGCGCGCTGTCGCCTCGCCGACCGAGCAATACTGGGTAGAAAACGGAAAACAATGAGCAAATAAACCAACGAAAAGAAAGCAATCATAATTGTCGTTTGTAGGCAACAAAAGATCTTCGCCATCGCTGCAGTGTTCCACGGTTCCGATCGGCATGGCTGCTGTTTTGCTGCCTTTCTAGTAGCCTTCTTGAGCCGGTAATGACAATGGAAACGACGACGAAGTCTCCTGTCACGTGACTGACCGATATGGATCGCCAACGAATCCCAATGGCCGGCTTGTCAGTATTAGTCAATTGCGGTTGAATAATAGTGATCATTCAGCTGTAGCAATTGAATAGACCTGTAGGAACGACAACATCAGCAACATTACTGGCATAACTCTGATGTTGGTCTGCCCTTGTGCTTTTTTGCCTCGCCGCTCTCCCCCCACGCAAATTTCGAACGACAACCTAACACGTAAAAGTATCACAGCCGTCGACTGCTGATACGACTATTATCATTGATCTATGGAGATGACTAACATGGACGTTTTTATCCTCATCAGCGTCGACCAATGTGAGAAAAACCGACAAGAAACGTTGATACGTATCACAGGCGACGCTAGCAGGTGATTCGTTCCTATGCTTCTCTCGATACCGAAGTACATGACTTTTTTCCTTAATTTGCATCGATTTTCCGTACTTACTCCGTTCGTTTTTGCTGCCAGCTTTCAGCTTGCCAGCTCGGTACATAGGTAGTGCCTATTTTACCTACTGCTTCATTCATTAATGGTTTAATGTGATCTGTTTTTGGAACGATTTTAGCGATACTTTCATCTAGATCCACACGAAACTTTAATACTACCTTGAGTGGCAAGAAGCATGACTTTTGGCACCTACTTTCGCTCGCACTTCTTCAAACGTTGAAAACTGCTGAATCAATGCAGTACGTTTGTTCCGCCTTATCTGACAATTATATCTCATCAAGGCTAACTTAGGGCAAAACTTTTCGCCCACTCAAAACTTATACGAAAATTATGTTTTGAACTTCTTTTTAATGTCATTTAAGGCTGCTTAGGTCTTGTCCCATATGCCGCCCCTGTGTCGGATTGCTTCGACAACTATTTCAGCTGGGTGAAAGACGAATAGAAAAGTAGAAAACGCTGTGTTTACGTGGTCGCGTATAACTTACAGCTGATTAATTAGGCGTCTGATGTGTTTTTGTTTGGGCTAGACAGCGTTAAATAAACATAAAATAAGCTGGAAAATTACTAACGAACAATGAACCGTTTCACGTCACCTGCACAGACACTTGGCTAACATATACTTGCAATACAATGAGGACAATGGTGCCAGTACGATAGTAAATTATAAATATGGCGACA